ATTCTGAGCCTGCCAAATCAGTCTCTGCTCCGACATCTTATTAAATCACACAGAAGTGAACGTAACTGCGACAGCCGAGATGCCAAAGGAGCCAGTAACCCCCCCACCTGTAATTAACATGACACAAAGTGACTGTGCAATGAGGGGAACATGTAGCTGTGACATACTTCTGTCAGCCACTGACAGACTCGGATTAGCAGAGCCTGCAAAAGTTGAGACGACGGATGATAATTAATTTCGGCCCACACTTTTGAGTCGGTTTAAAGAAAGGACTTTATGAATGTGAAATAGGAATATGCAAAAGTACTGGATAGCTCCATCTCCACTTTTCTGAGGTGGTTTAAGTGTAGCCATTAAGCGACTATCTGAAGTTTATTATGATCTCAAATTCATTTTTATTTTATGTTGCTCTCTCATTTATTTTAATGGAGTGCATCCCAGTAATTGGTGTTTTAGATACATGCATAAGTCAGATTTAACTTCAGCAATCTTAAAATAGAATATTTTTATGCTCTACATTTGTGGCTCCGACTTTTCTTAAATTGTTACCAACAACTCTGAATTGACTTTGCCAGCTTGGAAACTCACAATCCACTGACATATAGGAGGGAATTGTTGATCTGAAAATCTCTAATTGGCATTTTCTAAATTGATTGAACTATCTTTTTGTCACCATTAAATACAATTGATCATTTCCCCCTAATAAGACTCATTTCTACCAAGAGCAATGCATACTCTGGTGACTTGACAAAGGGTACATCACTGTCATTCATTCATGTAATTGATTTAGTTTTTCACCACAGCATCCCAAAATGAGCGCATACAGCAGCAGCTTCTCTTTTTTGCTATGCCAGTTGTTTTCGATCCATCCACCCATCCAATTTCTGATCCGCTTTGTCCTCACAAGGGTCGCGGGGCATGCTGGAGCCTATCCCAGCTGTCTTCGGGCAGTAGGCAAGGTACCTCCCTCTACTGGTTGTCAGCCAATCGCAGGGCAACTATTCCCGCTCACACTCACACCTCGGGTCAATTTGGAGTGTTCCATTTACCTTGCATGCATGTTTTGGGAATTTGGGAGGAAACCAGAGTACTCTGAGAAAAACCACACAGACACGGGAGAACATACAAACTACACACAGGAAGGCCGGAGCCGAAATCGAACCCTGCCAGTTGTTATCTATTAAAATCTAATTATTAGATAGTGATACCTCTCCCAAGACTGCAGAAGAGGAGATAAAATATGTGAGCATGGTACTGAAAAAAGGTTATTTTTCACCTGTGAGACATCTGGTCCACAGATGTTTCTTCTAATGCATTATATGCCCAGGATACCGATGCGGCAAGGGAGTTACAAATGAAGTAGTGAAATGTCATGACGGTGGAGGGATATAGAGACACAAACAGCAGTGAAAGCAAGGGAGCAAATTGATACAGTGTTTTTGCAGTGGATACACACTATAGTCAGCATCATCTAGCCTGAGTGCGGTCAAAGCATTCTGCATCTCATCGCAATTACTGTACAGTAAATTACCAAGGTAGGGGTTGGGGGGACAAAATGGAAAATGGAAAAAGACGGTGGAGAAGAGGGAGGAGGGAGAGAGGGGGAGAGAGAGAGAGAGAGAGAGAGAGAGAGAGAGAGAGAGAGAGAGAGAGAGAGAGAGAGAGAGAGACGGCACACAAAGAGAACCAGTAGTGTTGGACAGGAGGAGGCAAAGATAGTGAAGTGGTGTACTTTGTATCTTATGGGTGGATTTGGAAAACAGCTCACTGGTGTAATTCAAGCGGTAGAGCAGAAAGCCTGCACCTTATATGCCGCAGCCAGCCTCCACCTCTGAAAATCTAATGTATGCCGTATCCACTCTGGAAGAGTATGAGAGCTGCCATGGTAGATGTTAGGAGACATTTATGACAGTGGAAAAAAATGCATAACAGTCCCATTAATCCTACCAATTTGACCAAGTGCTGAATCATGTTTGACCCATCACGATATCAAGTACTTACCATGTTTCAGGGTCACCCCACCTCATGTATGCACACATTTAGTAGGGAGCCTACTCCCACTTCTGTGGATGAGACCCACAAGCTTTTCACGTCTGTGTGTGATGGTTTGAAAGCCTCTGGAAAACCGCACGGTGAAACTTTGATCATGACAGGTTCGCATTCAATGCGTTTGGTTCAACGTAAGCACGGTCAGACCCTCTGGTGGGGAATGTTACATTTCATATACAATGAGGTCACCTGTCACAAGAGGTTTATGTGATGAAAGCCGGCGTGCTCCCCATTGTAGCTCGCGGGCACCCAACTCGTTGCTAGTTTGCGTCATCAATCACATGGCTCCAGCGAGAGGTCTGACCACTTCAAATAAGGATGCTAATAATATTGATCGGCAAGTCGTGATAAAAGTAAGAAGTGGGCGAGTGAATCTGCGTATGTTGTGAGTGTGTTTGTAAGCCACAAGATAAGATGGTGCAGAAATTAGAAGCAAAGGTAAAGTCCGGTCTTAGAAAACGTGACATCATCATGGCTGTCATAGAAAGCCAGCATGGCAGAGATGGCAGTTGCAGTTGTGACACAAAACGACGACACAACACTTTTGTGTGAACTTGAAAACAAAGTTAAGCAATCAGTGAAAGATGAGCATTTTAGTTGTATTGAATTTTTGGAAAACTATTGACTGTTATAAAGTACAAGGAGAGATTTCATTGTTAATGTCTTCATGTAACTTCGACATGCTGCTGAGCCTGGGAATTCCTTGCACAGTGTGTCAGAATTTTAAAACAAAGTTGTCCATTTCCTAAGATCGGAAAAAAACTTTAACTTGTTGCAAATGACAGAAGCTGTTTTATGAACATGTGCTTAAAGTCTTAAAGTGGAGGCTGCTCTGTTGCGTTATTCTTTTCAGTCTCTGCAGCTAATGCTGACGAGCGCTGATCAAGCTCCCATCGTCAATGCTGCAACATTATGAGTTCCCTTTGTGTGTTTATCTGCACTCCCACAGTGACATCTGATCGACAGACTTGAGTAATGATGGTGGGGAGTCTGCATTTATGCTTTTTTAAGCCAGATAATTATGGAAAGTGTTCTCCAGTAAGAGTCCAATCCGCAATGAATTGGTAGCATAAAGTACTGGCCAATTTTAAATCACAAGAGCTCTTATTTTATTGGCTGCTGACTAGTTCAGGAAGCGAGCAAGTGGAGCATCTGGATTAGATGACTAGATTTAATTAACGCAGCCCCCAGCCCCTCACGACCCCGGCTACACACTGGTACATGAATAGGTGGCCTGCCTTGTTGGGAATTGAACAGGATGTGTGCACACACATACATGCACATACGTCTCAAAAGCCTCCTCGGGGCCTCAAAGGTCAGACCTACAGAGAAAACATGCAACAAAGAGCCTGAAAGAATCAGACATGAAACAAGTCGGAAAGGTTGTTTTTTTTTTTTTTTTTAATAAGGAATGCAAAGTAACATGTAGAATTCCATCAATACGATAACTGATAACTTCCTGCTTCTCCAAACTGATACCGGTAACCTCTTCTTTGCAACTAATTTCCCTCAAGGTAAAACGAAGGGAAAACCATCATATGTCACTCACTATGTTTGTCTGTATGGGCATTGAAACAAACAGCTGACTGTAGCTTCCTCCACTCTTCTAACTAGCACAAAAGAAATACAACAGTTTCCCATATGGTATGAAATCTCGTTTCACCTCAGCTATAATAAATACAATCAAGCATCTTGCACTGATGTTTTACTTCGATTTTCTGACTGTTAAATCACAATGCGGAAGACCAGCTTTGCTAATATTCTCAGAGGCCCTGTAAGTTTATGACATGTCAGGGTTGCAAAACATGATACCCCTCAAGTGCTCGTATTCACCAAAGACTTCAAAAGACGACAAAGGGCTTCCTTCTTCCCAGCCTTAAGTCTTCCAGATGGAAGCAACGTCTTGCTATAGCAACCTAGCGGTATCTTGAACTGGTCATTTGCCGTCAAGCTCTTTTGGCAACGTTCACATCATGTTTGCTTGGTTGCTAGGCAACACAGACCACACAGAGTCTCACTTGGAACTGTAACAAAGTGTATTCGGGCAGTGAAGCATTACACTTTCCAACGTAGACCAGAAAAAGTATTTCGTTGTGCGTTTTGAACTTTTTATGAGGGACCCAGTGCTGTTTATAGCCTGAGCCCAAGGCACTTGTGTAATTTGAAATAAAATTTCTAGCAGTAATAGAAAATACTCCCTTCTCATTAGCACCCATCGCCTGCAGTGCCTTCATAAAAAGGACCTCGTCCCTCTCTACCTTCCTTGTACAATTACATTGTACGAGCTGCCAATACGAAGCTGGAATTTGATTTGCACATGCTTTACCCTGATTCAAATGGTCACCCTGTCTCCCAGAGCTATTGCCTCATTGCGTTTGTAGAATAATGATGCAGTGCTTTCTAGCATTCCAGCAATCCCTTCTTGTCTTTCATTCAGCAGCAGCAGTCTATTGTTCCACTGTGAAGTTCACCGAAATTGGGTAGTTTATGGAAACCCTGATGTGGCAATTAAACCGTAACCTCGAGCTTTGATCTGCTGTTACCCTCTCTTATCTGCAACGGCCAAAAACATAGATCATGTTTGATTTGAGGTTGCTCACATCACTTGGCCTCTGTCCTTTTTCTTTTTCTGTAATAATGAGTAGGGGTTTAAATTTTTAACCTGGGTCACCCAACGAGTGCAGCTTTGGGTTTTTTTTAACTGCGTTCATACCTCTAATAAAATTCTGGCGTCTCCCTCCTTAGGATTATATTGAGTCTATTTTCAAATGAAGACAGTTCAGTGCTTTCAACATTCTTTTCCCTTTTCACCCCGACATAGTTCTCCTCATTCTTAATTGATTCTCCTTAGTGATAAGGGACTCCTTACTACTTCATGGCTTCCTATCTTCCACAGCCTTATTTCTTCCTCATATCCATCCTCACTTGACGCTTTCCCTTTTCCCTTGCAGAAGCTCCCGGGCAGGACTTTGTGACGTTGGACTACCGTCTGCGGTACTACCCCAGCATCACCTACGCGGTCATCGGGAGTGCCATCATCTTCGTGTTGGTTGTAGCGTTGCTGGCCTTGGTGCTTCATCATCAGAGGAAGAGGAGTGTTCTGCTTCCCACTGGTGTAAGGGGAGCCTCCCACCACCAACAACCGTTGCTGCTGTCCCGCTTGGTCATCTTGGATCACGGCCACATGCATCCCGGTGATCCGGGTCTCTCTCCTGGCTCCCCTGCTGCAGTCGACCAATTTAGCTCATCTCCTCAGATGCTGCGAATCCTGTCTGATGATACTCTTTGTCCGACTGCACAGCCAGTGGAGACGCCTCCATCATACTCTCAGGCCGTCATGGATGTCAGGTAAAAAAAAGAAAAAATGATCAAAAAAATACTGGATGCTGTATAGTTGTGAAATGTAACAAGGTATATCACGACTATTTCAAATTGGCTGATAATGAAATTGGTTTATATATATATATATATATATATATATATATCACTGGAGTAGTCTTAGAACCACCTGTCTGAAAATGCCGGCGGGTTCATGTAAATGTTATAGAATTAGGACCCAGAGATAATAGGCTGAATTTAGGTCATTTTATTTTAACATATAATATTTAACCTTCAATCATAGGTCAATGTAACTGTGAAAAAAGTCAAATAAACTGGTCAATATAAAGATTAAATAAGGGTCTTTTTAAACGTAATAGGCATAGTCGGGTGGGGCGATTGGCCTGAAAAATGTTTCACTGTTCAAGTATTTCATATCAATCAATAATGATAGATTTTTTTTAACTCATTAAGAAAAACAATTAACAGTTTTTGTATACATTGTATATTTTATTTGACTGATTGTCACTTGAGTGCGATGCACCTCCTCATTATTGTCGATTTTCATTGCCAAAAACTAATACAAGAAGGTTCTTTTTGGGTGTGCTGGGTTTTCGAGCATGCCCAGTTGAGCCCATCGCCACATCTTTGTATTATTGGAAACGAAACATGACAAAAATCAACACGCTTCGTCTGCAATGCCATGGTATTGGTGAACCCCTACCATTTGCCAATTCACCTTCAGTGTATTTGTGATTTTCTACAATGATGCAAAATTGATTGCCGTTGTGTATGTGGACAATGTAATCTTGTCATTTACCAATGCGATAAATATAATATCATCTGAAAATATGAATAGAAGAATACTATACATACTACATGTGGTTTTCTGGGTTGGCAGGTGATTGGCATTCTGTTTGAGTGTTTCACTGCGTGCAGTGCAGTATCTCTGCATATTTTTATGCTCTTTCTTTTATCCCTGTATACGGCATGGTAATTTGAGGGCTTCTAGCGAACAGCTGAAGCGTTTAAAGGAGGTTATAATGACTCAAGAGAAGGTAAACCTCTTGGATTTGGATAAGGAAAATTTTGCAATGCAATTTCTCGCCATTATGATGTGAATGACAGTACCGTATGGGTGTCAATAAAATTAGCATGGAAACAGACGTACGAAACATTCTTCGTCTTCGTGACAACAACAACAGCAGCATGCCTATCATGTTTGTATTCAAGCCTGTCAGAAAAGTCACGTCAATACATACAATTCTTTCGTCGTCATTCATCAGACTGTACAATCCGGCAAATTCATCATCCTCTTCGTCAGCTGGTTCATCATGTACTGTTAAACTTGTCCTCATTACAATACTGTAATAAAGTTGAAAGATTTATTTTGCCGTGCACTTACTACATTGTATGTACTTAGCTGCAAGCTATTTATTTTTAACAGAATAGCAGTGTTATAAGTTGCTTAGAAGACTTTAAGAAGACAAAGGGTTTGGGGGGCAGGGAGGGTGGGCTAATAATTCATCTTGTATCTATGGCTTGAAATATTGCACTGTTTATCGATGCAGAAAGAAAAAAGGCAGTAGTGCACAGCACAGAGACAAAAAAAATGTGAACTTAGGGAGAATTGTACATGCTCTCAGCTTTTCGCCAAATCACGGGAGGGCTCGAGCCACATCCCTGTACATCAGTCTCTCCTTTGCTCTCGCCGTCCGTTATGGTAGAAATTGTCAACCATTGCAAACCATATGTTTTTATTTCTCATATTTGTCATTTATAAATATGCATTTCCAATGAAGACATTATTCGGGGTAATTTTCCTTGTCACGGAGCACATCTTAATGGAGAAAGAACATTCTGTGACTTGTGCTCATGTTCGTCGTTTGTTTTTGTTTTCCTCCAGTCGGCCTCCCTGGTTTGACCTCCCACCTCCTCCTTACCTCCCAGATGGGGAAGAAGCTTCCGAGGGCGACTTGCCCCATTATGAGAGCCCTTCTCCATCTCTCGCCGTCAGAACTACGTCCTCAAACAGTCAGTTCAGTTCAAATTTTACTTGACAGTTGGCAGATCAACTTGAGCTACTCTCCAAGTGACTCCCTGTTAGCTACTGCAGGTCTTCACAAAGGCGCACATTCCAGAGCGCAGACCTGCTGAGAGCACAACGACAGGAGACTGAACAACGCTGAGAAGTCACCTCATCTTGAAACTTAGTCTTGTGTCTTGGCTCCCCCTAGTGGACACGTATGCAGAGCCACATCCCCGTCAGAATGAGTCGTTATTTCATTTCATTTGAATTGATTCCACATGAAGAGGTGCTCGCTATTTTCTTAACCAGTTACCACTCCCTTAGAGAATTATCTCAAGTGAGTTAGTAAGACTGTGTTAAGAGTGCCAATAAGATTTTTTTTCACTGTGGAACAGTAAATAATTCAGTCCGACGAGGTCTTTTTGAGGTTCTAGGCAACAGTATATATACTGCCTCTGCTCTCAATAGAGGTGTGTGTAAAGCCATTTAAGGAATTATTCAATATCCTTGTTATCGAGCTTAAGATCCATTTTCCTTCTTGTCACTAGTTGGGATAGTTCAGCACACGACTAAGATTTTGCATACATGCACAAACGTCTTTATGCAAAACTGTTGAAGGGTTTAGTTCTTGATATCTAATTTAAGGTCCAAGTATGTGTATGCTCTTTGTCTCACTAGTACAACGAGACCGTAAGCTGGCAGTACAAGTACTTGTAACGAGTGAGACTACTGCTTGGTACTAGTACTAGACACAATACAATTCTACTTGTTAACATCTAGCACTTCACTAGAACGGCTTTTGCCTCACTAGTAGTTGTCCTACTAGTAAGTGTGCAAGTTGTCCCAACAGTGAGAACAAATAGCAATTTGATGTCCTACTACTCTCTGAATAGTCTTACTAGTGATGACAGCAGGTGTACTAGTACGGCCCTTTAGCTCGATATCAAGTACAGGGAACCCTCGCTATAACGCAGTTCACCTTTCACGGCTTCGCTATTTTACATGCAACGAACCTCCCGCGATCGACCCATGACCGCACGTATACACGCACGCACAGACACACGCCTTGATGAGCAATGACCATAACGGCCCTTAACATGAACAAAACAGAAAAATAAAGTAGATACAAGAGTTTGTGAGTTTACGAAAAGGAAATCATTCCCTACCTGAGTACAGAACTGATGCGCAGGCAAGGGACGCACTTTTGCAGCGTGTTAAGTGTGGGAATGATCATACGTACGTGTACCGTTTTAAAATGCTTCTCCTGGCGCTCCAGATTCTTTGAAACAAACTTCATCCATCCATCCATCCATTATCGGAACCGCTTTATGCTCACGACGGTGGTGGGCATGCTGGAGCCTATCCCAGCTGTCTTCGGGCAGTTGACGGGGTACACCCTGAACTGCTTGCCAACCAATCACAAGGAACGCACAGACAAACAACCTTCCACGCTCACACTCACACCTAGGGACAATTTAGAGTGCTTTATTAACCTGCCATGCATGCCAGAGTCGGAATCGAACCCCTATACCAGGTTTGGTTTTTTTTTTTGTTTGTTTTTTTTTTTGAGGAGGAATGCGGTAAACGAGAGTTCACTGTCCATCGAATAAATGCTCAAAACCGCTTTCCAGAGATGTGCTACTTTTCAACCACAGTAAGTCTCCCCAGGAACCTTTTGAGGACCAGTTTGTTTTGACAACCCCACTCAAATATGCTCTTTCCTCCTGATTTGTGACCACTTATTGTTTTCAAGGCTGAGCAGTGTTACGCAAAGAGGCTTGGGATTGGTCCTCCAAAACAGGGGAAAAGACACTCAGCCCCTGAATCGGTACATGGGTAGTGTCAGCAAGATATGCAAGTGATGTTATTCCACTCAGTGGAAATCGACTTTGGTTGCACCTCATTCAAAGTCACCTCTGCATTATGTTTCCTGTATGGGAGTTTTTTGTGTGCGTTTAAAACATTTGGCGACTCCAAAAGAAGTATAAAACATTCTGATATATTTGACACCTGCTATTCTGTGAATTTTCAAATCTCAGTATTGTTGCCTTACTTGGGTAAGTTAATACACTAAGCAGTATTTCAATTTTACGTTAAGCGTTGGAAAAGTGTATAAAATGTGGTCGGAAAAACACAAAAGCAGCTAACTCATAGGTACTCGTTTGTAGTTTTAATGTTTTACAAAATAATGTATTACATGCCCACTAAGTGGCAGTTAATGTAACCTACTTCAAATGACTTTTTAGATATTTCAACTGCATTGTTTGGAACAATTCTTATTTGGAGGTCGGTTTTTTAATAGCAACACTAGATTTTTCAGCTTCTTGTGTCACAACATTTGGTAATAGCTTGTTTCATTTTTTTACTCCATAGATGACATACTGGACATAAAGTGGACCAATAACATTTCAGGAAATTACAAAAAAAAAAAAAAAGCAAAGAACCTACAACTACTCTGCATTTAGCTGAATCATTCCTCCACTCAAACACAATGACAACAAAAACACTTCTGGTCATTTTCACTCTGAAGACCAACCGTGTTATGTTAGTGACAAACAACCAGTTGTATTATGCAACAAGAATATGTGGTCATTTTATTTCAACTAAATGATTTTGATGGCACTCTGGCTTGTAAAAAGGAGAACGGTGGCTCTGTTCCTGACGTCATGTGGTTCAGTGTAATATTTTGGCTGCTCAACCTGGATACATTTCATGTTGCTTGCATAATATTACTGATTGCGATTGCATGCCCTGCCTTTTATTTCCTAATGAAATGAAGAGTGTTTATTTCAATCTTTATTGCTATGGCTTTATTCCAATACCTGAAAAAAAAAAATGAAAATTGTATTTTGAATCTTCAAAAGACACTCACTGCTGATGAACTATTATGAAAATAACATGCAATATTTTCTGAAATTAAATTACACATGCTGGGGAATGTTCATCCTCAATTTTCAAGATCAAAAGTGTTGTCGTTACTTGTTTTCATCTCGGTCAGCTTGTCAGCAAATTTACTCACTGAAGGATCTGTTTTTATGTGTTTGTTCTTTTGGCTTCAACCCTGTCAAAAAATACATTATTTACTTTGTAAAAAAAACATGTGTATACCTTTCCGCAACAAAGGAACATCCATGTCACCATGCTGTGCATATATATTATATTATATTATATTATATTATATTATATTATATTATATTATATTATATTCTATTATATTATATTTTGGTATCATCAAGTCCCATGAGTTGTGTCGTAGTTTGTGCATCATGTATATTAAAATTATGTACAATTCTGATCCTTAGACCATAAATACATTTTGCAAAATGTACGTTTCCGGGTTTTTTTTTTTTTCCCCAGTGGAAGTAATTTCCAGTTTTTGGATGTTAGGTGTATGTTCAACCACAAGATGTCATCCTTGTTCGTGAAATTGAAATCTCTGAAAGCTCCCTTCTTTTCAAATAACTGGGGAGCTTTCTTATTCATATCATTCATGTAAACTAGGATGTCTTTCACTTTAGTTTTGTTTTTAACAAAAACTATCGACTGTTGTTGCCCGGATAAATTAACTCATGATCCATATCTGCCCCCTTTCGTATTCATGGCAAATAACATTTGACATCAGTGGTCTTCAATCCTGTTCCTCAAGGGCCGCTCTCCTGCCTGTTTTCCATCGCTCACTGCTGCAACATACCTGATTCAAATGATCGGATGGGAAACAGGCAGAACAGCGTTCCTTGAGGAACAGGATTGAAGACCTCTGTCTTATATGAAACCCCTCCAAGTCCATGAGAACATGAATTACTTATAATCTTGCTCTGCCCCTTTTTATGATTTGATTGCCCACCCCAGAATATATTTGTGTTTGCCTCAGATCACTTGTGATATGTTTGGCTTGTCAGTAAAAACTGTCTCATCATTCTACGAGTAGCACTTATCATTTGTGATCATCCCACCCTCCTTCATGCAGCTCACAATGATTTTCACCACCTTTACACCTCCCTCAGTTCTCTTTAGCCGGTCTTGAACTGTGCTGCAAGAGGCCCATATTTGCTTAGCCCCAGCCCTTAACTACACAGACTTTAATTAAAAGCCTGCGGGCCACTTGGCCATGTCTCTCTTGCTCTCTGTGTCCCTCTGCTTGGCAGCTGTTGGATTTCTAGGAATGCTTGAAAACTGCACTAACAAACCTGGATACTGTCAATTACGTCCCTGCAGTGTTAGTTTGGCTATGATGAAATAGTGGCGATACATTGAGACTCCAAGGCAAAATGATAATATTCTAACAAATTTCACTCCCTTAAGTGTCCCGTTATGTATGCTGCAGACAGTGCAAATGAGAGAAACCCAACTGGTTGATATCTCTTTTTTCACTGCATGGTATGTGTTTGGATGAACACAACCTTATTCTTTTATTATTGACACTCTCTCAATGGCAAAGACAAGTACAGTGCTACATGATACTATTTCCAGTAGCTGGAGCTTAAAGTGTGCCTCGGTTATGTCTTATGGTTACCGTAAACTTCTGCTGGTGACATAACATTTGAGGATGCCCTGGGGACAAATTCAAGGTAACCCATTACTAACACCATTATCACATTCCGCTTGCTGTAAAAAAAAAAAATCTGTGCTACAAAAAATGGAGCATAACAGTGTGCAACTCTGCCAAATGCGTCATCTGGAGCAGTTCAGAGTCAATCTAATGACTTAACAAAAACATTAAAATGTTTAACCCTTTCAGGGACAGCGGTCACTACAGTGGACAGTCTATCATGTTATCAGGTTACAGGTTAACATGACTGGTGCATGAAAGGGTTAAATAAAACAGATACCAGATATGCTAATTAGTGAATGTAATGTGTGCAGATTGCTTCAGAGACGTTACATTAGAGGCTGCAATCTGATTAGAAAAAAAAAATAGCTGACATCCACATACACAAGTAGAAACAGAACAGCCAAGATGCTGTTTTTTTGTAGTGCTGAACGCTGCAGTAATACACTCCGCAATCTTGACTGCCTATTTTCAGCTTGTGCTGAACAAGACTGAGGGGGTGGGCAGTACATGTTTTTGCTTTTGTCTTTTCAGTCTTAGATTTCCCGTATCGGTGGAAAATTATAACAATTCAGTGTTGACTGTCTCAAAGGCACCGCATCGTTGTTCAACTCTATAAAACGGTGACGTAAGTGCAACATTTCCAATATAGCTCTTCTCGGAGGAAAAAAAAGGTATACCTAATTGAATGCAAATGTGATTGCATCAAGTAGCATAACAAGTTGCCAGACATGTACCACACATAACACTACTGCAGTCAGCAAATGACGACCTTGCTGAGCTGTAGCCCCACCAAAAAAGCTTTTTGCGATAGATTTCCAGTAAT